TTGGAGCATGTCTGCATCACAGGAACATCTTTTTTCTTTCTTAGTGACCTATAGTAAAATAACTGCATAATAAGTACCATGTTTGCTAATCGTTGGTGTCTGTGTGGGTTTTTTTTTTAAACTGACGCAAGCCAAAGATGTCAGAGCCAGCTCAGTTATGCTGGTCACTAAGAACTGTTTTCTTGTGCCTAAGGGCAGAGTCTGGTTGAGGGGCTTTTTGATTGTGTATACCGCTGCTGGAATCATTTTGATGATTATTTCTTCTTGAATTCGGCATTTAAAAAGCTTTGTAACATAATTCTGGATACAAAAAGAAGAACAGGCTGAGTATTTCCTCAGATACCAAATGCAAGCACATTCCAATCTCATACAGACCTAAAGCACACTCAGTTTTGCACATATATTAAGGGGGCCTGTTGCCAGCTCCAGCTAACATTTATTCCATGGTAAAGCTCTGCAGAGGGAGTTGAGTATAGTCCTCTAAAGTTTTCTTTCAGGAAACTAAAAAACCAGTTTTGCATTCATTTCCATGTGAGCTCCAACATACTAAGAGGTTCCAAAAGTTATTTTTCCTTTGCATCCTTTACACTAACCAATCCTCCTCCATCACTCGACAAAACACATGAATAACTGCATTCAAAGCTGTTTATAGCAAACAGACATCTCAGTAGATCCTTGTAAAAACAGGTGCACAAAAGCATAGTATTTTTCAAACATATTTCCCATATATATGCCCGTTATCTAAACGGCCCTTGACTTCAGCAGATGTTATGTCCTCACAACTAGGTCAGTTTGCACTGGAGCTATCTGAGGCTAAAGACAGAAGAGAGAAAATTAAATTGTGCTCCTGCTCCACAGATGTTGGCTGTCAAACAGATCTCTTCTCGTACGCTAAAGCAATGAATTCACCACCAGTTATGCAGAGATTTGAGTGGCAGGGCGATAAAACATCTTGGTGATCAACCATCAGGTGCACTTGCTGCATTATCTCCACTTAAACTATTCCAAAATATAATGAAAGTAAGAGTTCAGGGAAATAACTGTTGCCAAGGTATCTGAATCAGCCTCATCTAAATCACTGTCACTGCACATGGCCAGCATGACTGATCATACTGCTGCATTTGTTTGAAAGATCTTGGCTCCGGCCTTTCACTGTTCATGCTATTGGCACTTTGTTCGTCATACACACAAGTAAAGACAGTAAATCTCGGTTTTCACCCGTGGGCCTATGCTGCAGAAGAAGAAAAAAAAATCCCATCTTTTCCAGTTGCTGCTTAAAATCTTGAGCCACTTGTTGGCAGCCGTCTGCAGCAGGAAAGGCTGCCGTTGATGAGCTGTTCTTTCACTGCTGTCGATAAATAATTACCGACAAATTCTATTTTCAAAAAGGACACAGGACAATTTGACTAAGCCAAACAAATTTTTCAGCGAACATGCAAATAACAGGGAGCGTGCCCCAGCCTCAAAAATTAAGCATGCAGAGGAGGTTATCATTTGCATACATGATGCAAAACAGGCTCATAATAAGGATAGGTACACACAGTCATTTCACATATGTAAATTACAGCAGACAAGTGCAGTGTAACTGACAAATGCTCTGGAAGGTAATGACCATCAAACTTTCCATAAGGTTTCACATATAATCTCAAAGAGACAGTCTGATTAAACATATACATCTACTACTTGGAGTCCTGGGGTATTTTGCCACTGAACTGAGCAGGACGACTGAGCTATATAGATGATTACTATAGAATCATAGCCATTCATGGTGCTTTACAGACACACACAAAAAGAGAGCCGTGAACACAGCAGCTACAGGATGGCTGGAGAGAGCATGTACACACACAGCTCATGCTTGTGTGGGTATGTAAATAAGATTAGATAATACACATGCAGAATCTGTACATACGTAAGACGTTTTTTATTTCCCTAAGAAACCAGTGGCCACTAACAAATTCCATAGTGTCAAAGCTAAGCACAGCCAGGAGTGAGTTATTCAGTCAGGCCTAACAAGCAAGCTCCCGCCCCCCCGCTTTTCAGAAGTTAAGTTTTCCAGTCATCCTCACTGTGTGTGTGACACAGCAGAAATGAATTCTGAGCAAGCCAGTCTGTCACTCCCCCTCTAAAAGGTAATCCCCCCCCCCGGCTCCAGGAGTTACAAATAACTAAGGAAAGTTATGTGGTCAAGCAAAATGGAACCATGAATGTGTTATTTGGTTATTTCTAACAAGGCAAAATAAGGAGTTTATTCAACTTCCCAGCAGTATTACATATTGTAATTATACCACATAGCATTTCCCTATTTGCTTTTCCTTCTCTGTTCTCAGTGGCTTCCTTCTCAGCCAGAGTTGTCACTCAGGGCTCAGTCTTGCGATCCATGCATGCTCATGCAAATAGTCCTTACTCGTATGAGTAGTTCCAATGGGTTAAATTCTGCTCCCAGCCACCTCTGTGCAATTCTGTAGTACTTCCACTGATTTCAATGTACAGTAGTTACTCCAGATTTTCACCACTGTTACTGAGAATAGGATTTGGGACACCTTGTCTGAATAAGGACCAGGTCCTCAGCCTTGACATCAGTATTTTATGAAACATTTCCTACGCCTGCTCAGGGACAAGTTCAGCTCCACAGGTGATAGCGCAGGTGGGGAAATGCTAGTGTAGACGCAGCCATTTATATATTGCTCTTCAAATGAAATTCCACATTTGCATCTGTTAGTTGTACTAAAGACTGTCTGGTGTTTGTTGAGGCTGAATAATAAGTGATACAGGAAAGCAGCAGCTCTAATCACTGGCCTTGGTTCACGCTGTGGTATTTTTCATTGGCTAGTTGTCTAGTACTGTTTATAGATCTGGCTGGGTGTTAATGCAGGATATCCTGCTGTACAAGATAAAGTTTGACGATAGCATGCTGTTAAAAGAGATGGAGGAGGGTAAAATTTAGCAAGGCCTATGTCGAATTTATACCCCCAAAAGGCAGAGGTGCCAGAGTGTCCCTGAATTCCATCTGGAGCTTCACTGTTGCTGCTGATTTTACATGGTCAGCATCCAGATACTACGGTGATGGATGTGCATAAACCCCTACGATCGTAAAAATTCACATGAATTCCCTCTACTGGTGCCGCTGAAAGCGAGACCATCTAAGTGGTATATTATTCCTTGGTTTATTAGTCTAGCATCAGGTTGTGCCTCACTCATTCACACTGACAGGTAGCTCCCACTGAAATCAGCGTACCTACCCATGAAGTAAGATACTACTCAGTGTGAGTAAAGCATGGCACAATCTGTCACTTAAAACATTAAATATCCATAGAAGCTCATATAATCTGATTTCATTGCTGAATGTAAAGTGTGGTGCATTTTATTATACATATATAAAGCTACATGCTTTGCTACATGGAAACAACTGCAAATTTTTATTTAATATGCTAGGGCATATTAATGGTGCTTATTATAGTTACATATCAGTTTAAGTTACTTACGGTCTACCATACTATGCTGGATGAGAGAGATTTTCAAGAACCTATTTAGAAACGCACGTGCCATGGGCTTTCAATTGGATCTATGCCCCTAAATCACCTAGGCTGTTTTGGAAAAAAAAATCCCACTCATATTTACACACACTGAAAGAAGAATATGTTTCAGTTCCGGAGGCTGTCCCAACACATATGCAAGGGTGTGCGTGTTTTTACAAAGGTGTCCCTAAGTTGTTCACACAGAAAGCAAACTCAGTTTGACGTACATCATTTTCTCACTCTTTTACTATTACCTCTGCCTTTGATACCAGACACAGGGAGTGTTGCACCTTCCCATAACAACAGACCTCATTATGTAGCTTCTGTGATAGGTAAAAGTGCTGTAGATTGTCTAACAGTAAAGATCTGTGATAATGTTGTACTTACCAGTGTATCACTTGACTAGCACAAGGAATACCAGTAACACAGGGGAGATGGAATAAATGCCCTATTCTATCTACTTCGTATCTATTCAACAGAACTCGGGCACTGTGACATTTGATCTCAGTTACCGGCCAGCTGGAAACCCAGCAACCCTACCGATCTATTCTGTACGCCCATTAAATGCGCTTGGGTTTGGAAACCAGCCCCCTTGTCTCCCTAGAGTTAGACAGGCACGCGAACGAGAGACACAGAAGAAGGGTAACCCCTCAGCAGTGCTGAGTCACTTACAACAGCCAAGCATTTCACAGCTTAAACACGATTGTTCCCCCTTGGGATTTTGCAAGCCACGTTGCTGTGGGTTAACGGAAACACCCTTCCACTTCCCCTCGTCTTTTTCTGCAATGATCAAACACATTCACAGAAGCGGCCGATAGGAAATTCACCTTTAAGCATTAGCCGGAGAAAGTACAGCGACTTGCAGCCGTTCATCAGGTATTGTAACTTTAGCCACCGCCGCAGTGGAAGATGGCTCTCGAGGAGAGGGGGGAAAAGGAAACCGCTACCCATACAGCCCGGGGCCCAGATCTGGGCCACACACTTCACCGCATCGAGCTTGTCTGTTGCATCGAACAATTGCGGGTTGCCAAGTGGGACGCACAGAAAGTGTTCGGTCAATTGCGCGTGTGTGTCTGTCTGTCTCCCATTTACTGGCGGGGAATTAGCAGAGAACCGAAAGACACGAAGCGAAGCGAGGAGCACACCGCTCTGGCGCTACTAAATACAGAGCAGGAAGCGGAGGCAGGAGTAGATTTAGCGGAGACGGGTCACCCCGGCCGGGGCCAGGGCGCAGCGGCCAGCCCCGGCACTGGGGAGACCATACCGCATCAGGCTACCTGAGGATCGAAAGCCCAGCCCCAGGGTTAGCTCCTGGCCCTTTCCCCTCTGCAATCTGGGGCGCCAATGCCTCCCGGCCCCCTCCCCGATGGCTGGGGCTCTCCATCCCCTCTGCAGCACTTGCTGAGAGCCTCTTGCTCGGGGGCGGGGGGAGCGGATCCTGCTGTCCCTAGACATGCCCCGTACCCGGGGCCGGCACACACTCACCAGGTAGGCGCCCACCGTGCCCTGGGCCAGCATCAGGGCGCACTCGGACACCAGGAAGATCTTGATGTTGGAGAAGCAGGAGACCTTCTTTTTCCGCTTCTTATTCCCCTGCGCCTCGTCCCCCTGCAGCTCGCCGCCGCCGCCCGCGGAGCCCCCGGGCTTCTTCCCCTGCATCCTTCCTCCGCCGCCGCTTCCCCGCGCCCAGCAGCTCCCGGCTCCCGCTGCTGCCGGGCTGCCAAGGCGCTGGAGGGGCGCAGCGGGGCTCCTGCGTCCCCGGCTGCTCTCCTCCGCCTCTGCCGGAGCGGGGTGTGCCAATCACAGCGGCCGCTGCCCGGCCCCTGCCTCTCTTCTGGCTGCCAGGGCCAGCTCCCCTCCTCCTCCTCCGCTAGCCCTGCCTCCCTCCCTCCTTCCTCTCCTCCTCCGCTCGCCCTGCCGCGCACGGGCTGGCAGCGCCGCTGTCTCTCGCCAGCCCGGCTCCAGCCAAGCGCGCTCCCTCTCCTCCTGCGGCTGCAGCCGGCGGAGGGCGGGGAGTGGCTGTGTGGGGGGCAAAGAAAGGGGTTTGAGCCTGGGCTAAGGGGGCTGCTGGGCTGGCCTGTCCCGGGACAGGCAGGGCAGGGAGCGATGCAGCCCCTCCCAGAGTCCCCGCGGCAGCTCTTAGCAAGGGGCAATGCCCATCGCAGCCCATTTCCCCACGGTGGCAAGAAGGATCCAGCTGCTGAACGGATCCCGCCAGCTCTGCTGCCCCGGCGACCTCCAGCTGCCCACCGGCTCCCTGGCACCCACCAGCCCACAGCTCCTGGGCACTGACTGGTGGACCCCCGCTCCCTAGCCCACGCCAACCCCAGGCAGACCCCCAGCGCCCTGGCGCTGACCAACAGAGTCCAGACAATAAACAGACAATTCTCGGGCACCAGCCAAGGATTCAGGCAAACCCACTGCTCCCCTGCACATCGGTGGCGTCTCCTTTCGCGCCAGCACTCCCCAGGCGGCTGGTTATATATACTGACTGCGGGGTGCCTGCCCTTAGCGTGTGAGAGCCCCCAGAAATATCGGATGGAGAGATTTTTTTTCGAGAACAGCCATTAGCCAGCTCCTTTCCCCAACGGCGTGGTTCAACTCGGTGCTGCTCCCTCTGGCACTTTGGAGGGAGAGGGGGTGGATCCCAGGCTACCAGCATTACAATTCGCTCTAGTTTTTGGACCCTTGTGACTTTTTCTCCTAGTGCAACCTGCTTTACTGGAGCAAGACCAGTAATGTTAGATGTTCCCATGTTTTTTAGGAGCAAGACCAGTAATGTTAGATGTTCCCATCAGGAAAATGGGAAGGGGGAAGGGGAATATTCTGATACCATGGGGAAGGGCCCAGTAGGAAAGTCTAGGTAGAGAGAAAGCAACGTGCAGAAGTTTGTTTGAACACAAGCCTCGGCAAAAAAGGGAACTGTGGACAATACAGCCAGATCCTCAGCTAATGTGAATGGCCATAGCTCTGCTGACTGCAGTAGAGGTACAATGAGCTACAGCAGCTGAGGATCCAGCCCCATCTCGTTTCTGGTCATGCACTTGCTTTTATGTGTCTGAAAACAGGGACTTTCGGCCACTAAGAACCCTACCAAAAGCAAGTTATGCTGCTGGCAGACAATTAATGAGAATGGAAATCCACTCCCAATACCGCTTTCTATGCCCCTGACAAGCTCTTATTCTAAGGTATATGCATGGCCATTTCTCCTTCTAATCGGCACTTGCTTTACATTGTCACCAGCTCCAAGAGATCTCCTTTTAAAGACCACTGCATAGCACTTCTACCATTACAGATCACATTCCTTCTCCGCCCAGCAGCAAAAACCTGAGCTCCTGCTTTTCTCTGAGGGCATACTTTTCAAGTTTGAGTGTGCATTCTCATATTCTATCATGGTTTCTTACCTTATTAATTCCCCAACCACTGGTATGTGGACCAGGCATTACGGGAAATTCTGGTTTTTGTGGATAGTACTTGCATTTGGAAATTCTGCTTGTTGGGCTTTTTGTATGGGTAGCTGGGTAGTGATCTGTGACAAAGGTCAGCATGGATGAGCTGCTAAACCCTTCTAGCCTCCAGTTCTATGAGGATATAGGATAAGTGCCATAAAAAGTGCCTAAATGATTCAGGAACCCAAGTCCCATTTTCAAAAGTGATTTAGGCACTGATTGAAAAAGTCACTTTTTCAAATGGGACTTGGTGCTTTTGAAAATGTTCCCCCATCATCAGTCAGGGCATCAGATAACCACTAACTGGCTTAAAGTAGAAGGATCTTCATTTTTCATTTGAAAAATTGCCTTTTTGAAAAGCTGGGAGGGTTGCAAAAAGGCAATGAGAAATTAATAACTGTTTGATAAGCTATTGCAATCATATTTAAAATAATTCATTTTAAATCTCTTTAAACTGAAAAGGGTCCATTTCAAACACTTACTAAAAATACTTAAGTTGTTTTCATTTCAAACTAGTTTTTCCATTCCTTGACCAGCCCTCCATTCAGGTTAGTCCATATAGTTGCCTAGTAACGGCTTCCATGACTAAACAAAGAACAAGCACCTTCCTCTGAAGTGTGCAACAAGTCACTGTTAGGGGCAGGATATCAGAGGAGATGGACCATGGGTCTAACAATTGCGTTCATCTTTCTTCTCCCTCCTTAATAGGACAGAGTGAGAAGCTTCAGCGCCTGGGATCAGGGAAGCGAGAGTCTTAGGTCTCCTTGGAGTGTCACAAAAGATTTCTCTGTTAACATTTCAGGTTGAGGAGGCAGATGCACTGACACATCTATGACAAGGAGAACAGCTTCCTAAGGAATCCAAGTTTCATACTGATTGCCTGAGACTTCTGGCTGGATTGCAGGGCATTTTTATTCCAGCAAATGGCAGACATCAGGTACTCTGTCCTCCAGAGACAGCGTACCTGATTCTCCTCTCATTTATACTGGGTTTCAAGCATTGTATAACTCCATTGACTTACTGTGGAATTGATCTGGTGTTAAGCAAAATAATTGAGTTCATTATATTTTCAGTCAGATACATCAATAGCCCTGGAATTCCCTTTTCCAGGTTTCCATAAATCTGTGGCATTGAAATATTTCAGCAGAGAATACATTGCAATTCCTCTATCTTGCTGAAATGTGTTCTACTGATACTGATATTTTAGTAAGATATGTCATGTTCCCAGACTTCCAGGCCAGAGGAAATCATTCTGATCCAATCTGACTTTCTGCATAATACAAGCCAATAATTTCGACATCAACCCGATAACTCCTATTTGAGCTGCAGCATCTCTTTTAGAAAGATATCCAATCTTGATTTAAAGATTTCAAGTGATGAAGATCCACCATAACCCTAGGTAAGTTGTTCAGTTCTAATGGTTAATCACCCTCACTTAAAAATTTGCACCTTCTTTGTCGTCTAAGTTGTTTAGCTTCAGCTTCCAAACATTAGATCTCATTATTCCTCATCTGCTAGCGTAAAGAACTGTCTATCAGCAGCAGTTTCTTCTCCATACAGGTACTTGTAAAACTGTGATCGTTTCACCTCTTAATCTTCTCTTGAACAAATCAAATAGATTGAGTTTCCGTCGTCTCTCACTATAAGGTTTCAGAGTCGCAGCCATGTTAGTCTGTATTTGCAAAAAGAAAAGGAGTACTTGTGGCACCTTAGAAACTAACAAATTTATTTGAGCGTAAGCTTTCGTGAGCTACAGCTCACTTCATCGGATGCTGTATTTTCCACTGCATGCATCCGATGAAGTGATCTGTAGCTCACGAAATCTTATGCTCAAATAAATTTGTTAGTCTCTAAGGTGTCACAAATACTCCTTTTCTTTTTACTATAAGGTGTGTTTTCCAGACATTGATTCATACTTGTAGCTCTTTTTGGCTGTTTATTGGTAGTCTGAATGAAGAATTATGCCTTTGTTGTGGGCTATTTTAAGCTGTCGACACACAACTTTTCTTTTCCCATTCCTAAAATCAGCAGCTATTGTTCACATCATCAAGCAAACATTTTCCTCATTTCTAGCCACATCTTTACCAGTTGATAAAGATTTTTAGAAGACAGACTGTTAGGACTATCTCAGGAATTTATATAGTCCCCCTTTACCATACCATCTGAACACCTCACGGAGGAGTTGTGAAGGTAAATACATTAAAAGTCATGAGGCACTATTCCCCCATTTTAGAGATGGGGAATTGAGGTGCAGAGAGACTTAAGTGACTTGTCCAAGGTTACACACAAAGCCTCTGGTGGAGCAGGAATTGAATCTGAGTCTCAGCGTAGACAAGAGTGTAGATGTACTGTAGACAAGCCCTGAGTCTAACCACTGGACGAACCTTCCTCGCTGTCTAAACACCTTTCTTTGAGTTCCATCCAAAAATAGCAACCACAAATTTTTGCAATAAACTAGAGAATCCAAAACATTCATAGCAAAGTAGCCAAGGACCAGACTTTTAAGTCATTATACCAAATGTTTTCAGGAATCTGCTTCCACCAAAGTTTTATTATAGATTATAAGTTATTTTAATATAAGCCTCCAAAAATGCAATAAAATTGTGATTTCTCCTCACTGAATGATGACATAAATTTAGAATTTTATTGATGGCAAGGAAAGAAAATATTGCAATGCCTCCAAAATATGTTTTCCCTTTTAGAAAAAAAGGGGAAATGATTCCTTAAGAAGAAATCTCCTGGTATGGTTTGTGATTGGGACAGCAACTCCTGTCCAGCTCCTGATATCATGCGCAGATCTACACCATTGACATCCACAGAAAACTACTGGTTAAGAGTTTCAAGGAGCCCTTTGATTTCTCTTTGGTGTTAAGCTGGAAGCCAGCTCTATAATAAATCTTGACTTCCCCGTCATGCTTTGCTTCAGGAAAATACAAAGTAACTATTGATGCCTATGTTGTTATAGTATGCCATTAATAAGTTTATAAGCTTGGTGAAAAACAGACACATATAGAACACAGAACTAATAAAGAAAGCTAATTCTGTCTTTTAATGGTCACTCCCTCCCCATCATGAGAATACTTTTCTGTGCACATAAATCCCAATAAAGCCAATGGAGTAAGCATCTGGGGGAGAATAAGCTTTGGACATTTTGCCCATTTGTTTCTTGAGGAAAACTAGTTTTCTTTCTTTAAAGGTGAAATGAAATTATCACCACCTGCTGAGGCCCAACCAGGTTGAAAGGAAGGAGGAAGAAGAATGGGAAGGTGGCTCAAAGGGTTTGAACAGGCACCCATGCTTTCCAGGATTTCTGCAATATGCCACATCCTGAGAGCTTCACCCTCAGAACCTGCCAAAGCACAGAGCAGATGAAATACTTCACATTTCTC